ATCGGTTGGAGAGGGGAACGAAACATTCCTTAGAACAGTATAGAAACTTCTCCCTTGCAGATGCATTTTAAACCGAGAGGCCGACAACAATACATAATAAATCAAAGCAGACAATATTTGCTAGCAGTGAGCTTGAGCTTTTACAAGTATAAAAAGAGGTATGTTTGATAATTTTTGTCATAATTTTGAGGATAACTAATGGGATAGAAAGAAAGAAAACATGAGTATTATCAAAATTTGTAGACATAAAGATCTGTTCATCCTTATTAACGCTCAAATTAGTCTATATATTGTAGTCCGTTCATAAGTTTCCCCAATGATGGAAGATAATATTATTTTGCACTCATAAACTTTCTAAAGTAACCGTAAAATGTTTATAGATAATCAGTTTTCGCCCATGGTAAGAATCTTTTTATAAAGGTAAAGGCCGTTAATGTTACTTTCAAATTTTATGAATATTTTTTACCATACGGCGTCGTGATCTTGACACGCTCACGATCAGCCTTAAGGGGAATTAAGCCTCATATATATTCTTCGCCACGGCTTTGTGGCTTCGTGGACCTTAGGTGAGGTTTGTCCTCTCCAATCGAAAATCATTGTACGGAATCCAAGCTGGTTCAACCACATACGCTGCCTCAAAATTTAAAGATATTTTTTTTAGACAAATACAAAGTTCGGGATATTCTTACCTAAATTTGAAGTTTTTTTTTTTTTCAAAAAACATCCAAAATAACCATAAATTTCATCTCCATAGATATATAGATATGGTTGGATTGAAATCGAATGAGCACCACAAAGATTTTTATTATGAAACAAAGAGTATTTTGATTTTCGATGCCTTCTTGGGTATGCAGCTTATCATCTGTTTGTTTCTCGGGAAAATGTAATTCATAAGCATTTGCAATTAATTTTAGAAAACCATTTGTCCCAACCAAATCGGGCGAATTAAGTACACTCACCTAAATTCATTTAATTTGTTTGATATCGACTTAAGAGATGGATAGATATTTTTAGTTATACTATCCCAAAAATAATTGCCGAAACATAAGTGTTTGATTGTTTCGGTATTTCTACGTTATCTACTTGTTTGAAGTGTTTCTAAGAGTGAGGACTATCTTCACCCAACACGAGTCATTTCAGTACACTTCTAAGAGTGAAAATTATCTTTTATCGACTCATACGAGTCATTTCAGCATGATTTGTTTTCACTTACATTCTTTCGAGAGTGAAAACTATCTTCATATATCTACACGGGTTGTTTCAGCATGCTCTGACGTCGCTCACATGATTCTAAGAATGTTTTTAAGATGTCAACAAACATAGAATTGTTTCAAACAAAACACGTGTGAGATCCCACATTGGTTGAAGAAGGAAACGAAACATTTCTCCCTAATAGATGTGTTTTAAAATCTTGAGACTGAAAGCGATATGTAATGGGTCAAAGCGGACAATATTTGTTAGAGGTGGACTTGGGCTATTACAAACGGTATTAGAGCCAGTTACCAAACGATGTGTCAACAAGGACACTGGCTCCTAAAAGGGTGGATTGTGAGATTTCATATCGTTTAAAGAGAGGAATGAAACATTCCTTATAAGGGTGTGGAAACCTCTCCCTAGTAGACACGTTTTAAAACCGTCAGGCTGACGACTATACGTAACGAGCCAAAGCGGACAATATCTATTAGCAATGGACTTTGACTGTTACAAATGGTATCAGAGCCAGTTACCGGGCGGTGTGCTAGTGAGGATATTGGGCCCCAAGAGAGGTGCATTGTGAGATCTCAAATCCGTTGGAAAGAGAAATGAAACATTCCTTATAAGGGTGTGAAAATTAAACCTCTCTCTAATAGACATGTTTTAAAATCGCGAGGTTGACAGCGATACGTAACGCATCAAAGCGAATAATATATGTTAGTGGTGGGCTTTGACCGTTACAACACACTTAAATTTAAAGTTCGTATGACCGAACCAACAAAAAAAAAAAAGAAAGTGCATCATGATGCTGCTATGAATAATAAATTTCAATTCTTTAATATCTTTCTTAACAAGCGTAACCATAAAATCTCTCTCGTTTAAGACTGTGGTTGCAGTTCATCCATATACCCAACTCATATTTAAAATATTCATGTATAAATATTTACTCGAGTATCACAAAATACCATTTATAAATATTTTATTTTATGAAACTTTTCTAAAATATCAATCGAGATTAGCAATATTTTGTTCATAATTTTATTAAATTGAGATAGTATAGATTCATAGGATCCCTTTGTAGTAATCTTTTTTATTTTTTGGACGTTGTTTATTGTCAACACTAAATCTAAACCGCCATGGTGTCTGAAAACAATGGCTGTCGTTTCAAACACAATAATTAGACACTAAAACAAGACAAAGATTCTTGTTTTTATTCCCAAAAAAAAAACAAACTACGTATCAATATACTTTTAAATTACATACCAACAAGAACCGTGCTACAATCAAACTCATAGAACCATATAGAAGATGGTGGAATTCTTGGAAGATTTCCAAACCCATCAAGACACCGCGGATAAAATAAGTATAATAAGCCTGAAAAGGAAATGATTAATTTATGGGCATTGGAAGCCATAAGGAACCTTCTTTCCACAGTAGTTCAAAAGCAAGCTAAGGGAAATTGGGACGTTAAGTTTGAGCCCCAAGGCTTTGGCTTTGATGACAGTACAAAGGCAGGCAGCAGCTTCAAGATCCGCCAGGTCCTTGATGAGGGTGCAGCATGGGGTTTTTGGAGGCTTCCCGATCACTACGTGCACAAGACCGTCGAGCAAGTCGGCACAAACACCAAGCTTAAGAGTGTCCTTCGGGCACCGGGGCTGTGGAGGCAGCTTCGTCGAGGGAGCTCCCTCGGAGGGCTTCGATGGCGGCGGTGGACAAGGGATGTAGGTGGAAGTGACCATTGTGAAGAAGAGGAGGTTGAGAAGAAGGGCTGATGACATTTTGGAAGCCATTGGATGAAGAATGGGTGAAGAATGGTGAGATGAATTAGGGTTTATATAGATGGGGTTTCAGATTTTTTGAAATGGGATTTATGGTAAGGAGCAAACTTGAGGGATGAACATTTTGGATTGGAGAAAGATCATGAAGATGAGACTTTTTTTAATTTTTTTTTTTTTTTTTTTGGGATGATTTTGGCATTTTCTTAAACGATTGGTTGTCAATTGTACCATCTGTCTCAACCATTTTGGTGAGAATCGAGTAAACAGTGGCATACTGTAACAGCTTACCGCTAATATATATTGTCTTTTTTGAGCTTTTTCTTCTGGGTTTCCCCTCAAGATTTTTAAAACGCGTCTGCTAGGAAGAGGTTTTCATACCCTCATAACAGCTCTCCGCTAGCCGATATTGTCCTATTTGAGCTTTTCTTTTTAGGTTTTTCTCAAGATTTTTAAAACGCTTATGCTAGGGAGAGGTTTTCGCACCCTTATAAAGAATGCTTAGTTTTCCTCTCCAACCGATGTGGAATCTTATATATATTAACGAGAATCAAAGCCAGAGTCCAATTAGAGCCGTGGGTTTTGGATTATTTTGTCATATATATATATTTTTTTAGTTTAATTATATTTAGGTAGCGAAGATTCAAATCTATGATCTCTTAGTGCAGAATATATATCTTAATGATCGAGTTATATACTTAAATTGACTAATTACCCATTTTTGAAATACCAACCGTGGAGTTGTATCATTTTAGAAATAATTAATTGTTTCCATTCTCACCCAAAAATTCTACTGAGGTCGCCAATCATAAAATTCATTGAACTTTGGAGTCATATGATTAAGTCACTAAAAAACACTTTTAAACATATCTTAATCATCCTATCTTTAGAATCGCTCTCGTACGAATGTGATCTCAGTTAATTTATATACCTCTTTTTTACTCGGGTGTCAAAAGTTTTGAGCCAGTGGCGTACAGGTGGGGAGTCCCAATTCTTCAGCTTGAGATGTCTAAATCAGAAGGCATGTGATCACTTTGATATCTGTTTTTTGGCAGTGACCAATATATAATTTAATGCTATACTTTGCCAAATATAAAATTTCCAACTTCAATACTTAGAGGTTGCATTGATCAATGGAAGCACATGGGTTGGGACCTCTCTTTTCATTTGCATCAAAGCTTCCATCTGGTTTTTTCTTATGCTTCATCCAACCCGGATAAAAAGAAAAAAATTTTGATTCATTTATTTTAGTTCGGTTGTCTTCTTGTAACTTAGTTAAATCTTTCGAATGTTTATGAATATGGGTGATACGCTCACAAGGCATGTCTGTACATATCAAGTATGTTGCAACTCAGATATGTTGAAGTTTCCTAGTGGTCAACCAATTCGATTTTGTTTGACTGATCCAACTCGTTTTATATGATTCCTTTTGGTTTGATTTTTAGGTTTGGGCTAGCGTTAATGGATGTCCGAGAAATTATTGAACATGTTTCTATAATGCCCAAAGAAACGAAGGATACAGAAATAAACTTATGTCATATTTGAATGAGAGCGATTCTGAAGTCCTTTTTTTAGTGACTAAAATTACTTTCAAAATAACAATAGTAATAATAATAAATTTCTAAACTTTTATCGAAAATGATTTTGAATCAATTAAAATCTATTTTGGAAGGATCAAAATCATTATAAAACATTATAAAACATAGCTTTAATCGTTCAAAATCAATTTAACACTTGATTTAAACTTTTAAATGCAAAGTTCATACACAATTAAATTTGATTTTGATTGATTAAAAGTATGTTTCAAACTAATTTTTTTATAAAAACTATACTAACGCGAAACGATATAATACCCTCAACAAGTCATTCATCTATCAATTTTGAGCCAAAGAAACCTTTTATTCATTACTCTTTAAAATCTAAAGACCAACCTATTAAACAACATTAAAAACTAAAAGAGACAATTTTCAATGGTTTAAGGACCAAATTTATAATTTAATCGGTTTCTAGTTTACTTAGAACATGGTTATATAACACAAAATGATAACTTATTGAATCATTCATTATCCATCATTGATGGCAAGAAGTCTTGAGAACCTCGTTATAAGAATCAAAGTGTAGAACGTGATTTACACAATGCCAAATAGAGATTTCAGAACAGGCAACAAAATCCATTTATTTTGATGCAAAGCAAATTCCAAAGGCATATAATTCAACAACGATTTGTATCTGAAAAGAAACAGTACCAAAAGGGTCCATTCAGCGTGAGGCCGCCTATCTAAGCTTCTGGTTCTCCACCAAGCTCCACTCTTAGGTTGTCATATGGATATACTTTCGGCGCCTGATTAAAAGGAGGATCAAGTTTATTATCAATCATCTTATCAATGCTAAATTCATCCAGAAAATAAAACATCAAGGCTTCAAAGAGTTGAAACACGGCCAATAGTTCGATTTCTATGCAAATGTCAAGTAAACGTAACGACTGAAAAACACCATAAAGTATACAAGGCCAGGCTATACAAACAACCACAACAAGAATACATTCTCTGTGGAACCTATATTTGGAAGAAACACTTGCCCGTATATTCTTTTTCGCATATTTGCAAGGAGAGATTTAAACTTTTGACCTCTTAATTTGAATTTCTGACCTCTTAGTCAAAAGCATATGTCGTAAGTAGCTAAGCTATAATCCAAGTTGAAAACATTTGCCTATATATCCATCTCCTTTTTCACAAAGCTTCGGAATTTCACTCCTAAGAAGATGAAATTTTCTGGGGAGAGGGCTGACAGGTAGTAGCCCTCTCAAACTTTCCTTCCAAAGACTTGACAGTGTAGCGAAATCAAAGCACTTCACCATGAATCATTGCTGGTCATAAGACACCCACCCGTAGAAATTGCAGTTTAGAAGGAATCTGTCTGATATTGAATTAGACTCCAAAACCTGATCAGCCACGATCAGCCTAGCACCCAGCAGGATTCTAGAAGGTAGATATTCCCACGCTGTTCATTAATTCCAAATCAGTGTGATTTGAAAGGCCAAGGTTCCAAAGAAGATGAAAGTTTTCCCTTGATCTTTTATTCAAGAACATTGAAAACTAGTTCTTGGATCCAAAGGAAACTCCCAAATATGCCAGTTTGCACTACCTGATGCATCATGTGAAAAAGTAATTTAGAGAGTCATCCTCACGTATCTTTGCAATGGCCCTTTCATGGCTGCTAGTTCATCGAAATCAAAGCTCTTTCATTCTTTTGGCTTAGACTAGTGTCCCCAAAAGATTGTTAAACCACCCCTTACCGGCTTTTGGAAGGCTCTCCTTTCAAGGGCAGGCTCTTGTTTTATGGTCCAACGCCATGACAGCCAATCTTTGGAGACTGGTTCAAGAGAAACCAAAGAACTTCTAAAGGGAAATAGCGTACTCTTGAGGAATTAGGGGATCTTGTGAAAAATTTTGACTCCACTTGGTGCACCCTCTCTCGAGGCTTCCGTAATGATGACCTCGTGCATATTAATGCCCATTGGGAGTCTATTTTCATAACCCATTGGCTCTGTGGGGATATCACATTCCCTTTCTGTGAGGTTTGTGGGTGAAAGAATCTTTTTTGGGGCAAAAAGGAATACAGGAAAAACTTTCAATAAAGTTGCTTCCATTCTCTTATCTCGTGTCTTCACAGTTGGAAAAATGGAAGAGTTGGTCAGTAGCGGGTTCAATTTTAGCTTTTGTTTTCCCAACTATCAGATATGTCAATATCAGCTAAAAATGGTTTATATCTTAGTTGGACGCTCTTTCAGAAGTTCACCTTCCTTTTTTGACGCTCTTTCAGAAGTTGATTTTGACGTCTAAGACAGGTAGCCAAGTGTATTCTAGCAACCAGGTGAAGTGTTTCAAACTGCAAAGAGTGGGTCCCCTTCGATTTCCAAGAGGGCGTGTGCAGCTCAGATAAATCTTTTAAATCAGGCTCTTTTTTCAGAGGAGACTATCCTGGGTCAAAAAGAAAAGAAGGCCCAATTTGCTGTAGGCTGGAGAAACTATAGGGTGTCCTAACGTCGCTTCTAATGCATCTGTCAACAATTACGATCAGCCTTTGTTTGTGGCTGCATCTCCTTGCACAATCCTCCTCTTGCATTTCTTATTTTCACCTCCTTTGTGTCTTCGTCCCCCTTGGTACCCTTCTATTTGCCTCTCTCTGGAAGGTTAAGATCCACCAGAAGGTAATATTCTTTGTGTGGCAGGTATTACAGGGGAGGATTGCCATCGGAAGCCTTCTTCCTTCTTGCTGAGTACTCAGTGGAGGACCTTATGTATTGTAGACAGGTTCTGAGTACCTTAACAATTTTCTATAGAGTTGTCAGATTGCCAACTCGCTTTTGGACAATTTTTTTGGGTCATTTAGGACTTGTAGGTACTAATAGGGATTGTTGCTCAATAATGGAGGAAGTTCTATGGAATGCAAACTAGAGATTTTTGGGTCATTTGGCATGCGTCTTTTGCAGTTTTCTGGGGTACATGGCTCGAGTGGTAGTAGAATTTTCAAAGGTTGTGAGAGATCTGAGGAAGAAGTGTGAGAAAATGTCAAATTTCCAACCTCTTTGTGGGCTTCAGTTTCTAGAGAGCTTTATAACTATCAGTTAGGACACAATGGATTGGTAAGTTCCTCCGTAGTTGAGGATGGACCATCTTTTGGAGCTAGTATTTTTGCACGCCCCTTTCTTTGTTTGAATATTCATTATTTTCAACGAAATGTTGTTTCTTGAAAATCCCTCATACCCCTACCCTTACTCACTTGTTCTTAAAAATGGTAGGAGGATACCCCTACTCACTTGTTGTACTTGAAATAATGAAAGGAGGATACCCCTACTCACTTCTTTGGCATCAAGGATTTGGGTCGAAATGTTATCCTCCTTCAACAGGACCATGGCTCTTCCAAAAGACCCAAAAGTGCTTCTTTCTCATACTCTCGTGGGTCATCCTTTTAAGAAAGAGAATGAGCTACTATGGAAACACCACGTTCGGGCCTTCTTTTGGTCTACTTGGTTGGGGAAAAATCAAAGGCCTTTTGTGGGAAAGATTGTGATTATTATAGATTCCTCGATAATGTCATCTACCTAGCTCTTGGTGTAAATTACATAATAATTCCATTCTTATAGTTTTGCTTCTCTTTTTCCCAATTGGAGATATTTGTTGTCATTCCTTTGAGTTGGAGTTGTCTTTCATAAACCCAAGAAAAGATCTATTTCTATCCAATCAAACTAACCACATGATGTTGAGGGAATAGGCTAGGCCAGCCATAAACATGCCCTTTATTCCCAAAGGCTAGATTCAAGATGACTTTCTCCAACGTCCAACTAAGATAACTTCTCCAGATTAAGAATAAGAATAAATATTGAACATACCAAAACCTATCAGTTTAAGCTTTTGGATGTTCTAATGATCAACCAACAGGGTATAAGAGCAAAAGATAAGTTTAAAAGCTAGTAATTTCCTTTTCTCAATTAATATTAAGGATCACTTGTTGAGCCTTTTACTAATTTTCACGCACACAAATGGAACGAGAGTGTTAAGACTATGATTCAATATTAATAATAACCTCTCATCTCCCTTTCCTTCCCTGCTGTCTAACTCCTCTAACATGCTCCTATTATCCTTCTTACTCTCCCAGAACCTCATTGCTTGGACATAGAAGGGAGAATAACACTCCAGTTATTGAAAAAGGTGTGCCCGTCAATAAGGATGCCTTGCATCAGGCCAGGGTCTACAAAAAACGAATCGCGAGTCATAACAAGCTCTTTGACCTGGTACTACGGTTAGCAAAATCTCTTACTACTGGGCTAGGAATGTTACACAGATACTCATAGTGGGGAAGGATAGAATTAATCTAGAAAACTGTTCTGCTTTGCACCAAATTATAAGTTAGACATCTCAAGAGTTATTTCTCTAGCTCAGCCCATCTCAAAAGAAATAAAATGCGGTATACATAGCACAATTATCCCAATATGATTTCATGAGAAAAGAAAATTCAATCCAAATAATGCACTGAACTGAGTACCACCATATTTCACAAAATGCACGGTAATGGTGAGATCCCACATCAGTTGGAGAGGAGAACGAAGCATCCCTAAGGGTGTAGAAACCTCTCTCTACGAGATACGCATTTTAAAACCTTAAGGTGAAGCCCGGAAGGAAAAGCCCAAACAGGACAATATCTGTCCGCAATGGGCTTAGACCATTACAAATGGTTTCAGAGCCAGACACCGGGAGGTGTGCCAGCGAGGATGCTGGCCCCCAAGAGGGTGGATTGTGAGATCCCACCATCAATTGGAGAGGAGAATGAAGCATTGATTATAAGGGTGTGGAAACTTCCCCCTACGAGACGTGTTTTAAAACCTTTAGGGAAAGTCCAAGGAAGATAATATCTACTAGCGGTGGACTTGGCCGTTACAGTAATGAAAAACAAACAACAAATGTATCCTTCAACAGTCAAGCACCAATGCAGGTAAGATATCAAATAGTCCAACAGAGAACGGAGTACAAAAGATCCACAAAAGATGTCTAGTTCAGTAAACTTACAAATGGTATCTTAGACGCTTTGTCGTTCCACACAGCCAGAAATCCCAGAGATGCAAAAAATCCCAATCCCCCACATAACCAAGCCAAGGCTTCGTACTGAACAAGAACAAAAACAAAATAAACATACAAATTGTCGGAGAAATGAAAATACAAAATCCTCAAGAGAATCGAGATACCTTCCCAACCGTATCAGCAATACGATCAATACAAGGCTCGGGAAAAGGCGTTCCATTGTCCCATACCAGTTCATCGTTCACAGGAAGCTAAAAATGGAAAAATGATCATAAGTCCTACATAATCTACATCGAAGAGATACTAATTTTGCAACAAATTTGGAGGTAGAAGGGTGAAATGCTTACGGGTTTATTGGGGACGATGTGTTTGCCAACAGGAAGGCCCATGCCGGAGCGACGTCGAAGAGACGAATCAATTGAGCGAGCAACAACTCCGTTTCCGCCAAGGATCCTTGAACCCAAATTGCTCAGCCTGCCTGCCATTTTCGGAGATTTTTCCCTCTTCAAAATTCCAAGATCGTCGTCCGTTCTTGTTTTGAGTGATTGTTCTTCAGAGCAATGGGGGAAAAGTAATGCCCTTGGTTTCTTTGTTATCAGAATTTACAATTAATTTTGGGGAAAAAATTGCAAAATCCACAAAGACAATAAATAAATAAATAATAATAATAATATATTTAATATAAAGAAATAATATTTTTGTTTAATACTTTAACATTTTTTTAAATAAAATTTATATGCAAAATAATTTAAATTTTTTTTTTAAAAAATAGAAATAGAGAAAAAAATTCCACGTCATTTTTTTTTTATTTTTATTTTTATTTTTTATCGAACCAGGTTTCTTCTTTCCTAAACCCTGCTTCACATTCCTCCCTTCCTCCCATTTCCAGCTACACCCCGCACCGTCGCACGCCGCTCCTGCCCGACGAAGTCTCAGCCTCCCGACATACTCGCCGCCGCTCCCTTCCTCCCTCTTACTTACACTCTCTCGTTTCTCTGAGCAATCAGAGTTAGTTATCTCTGTTGTTTTCTTCTTTCTCAGAAATATATAACAGCGGTTCAGTCAGTCACAACTCACGCTGCTGGTGAGGTCCGGTCGCCCCTCATTTTTCAGATCCAGCGCCAAGGTTTTGATTTTTTGTTTCATTTTTATTTCGTTTGGTTGATTTATTATGTTCCCTCACGAAGAAGAATCAACGAATTGATTTTTTTTTTTTTTTTTTTTGTTGATATCTTCTTCAGCCAATGTTCATTCAATCCAAATGAAGACGTAAAACTAAAAATACTTCACATGTTAGAAGAAAAAACAGATTGAATCAATAGATTAAAAAAAAGATAGTATTCTTATCCGATTTAAGAAATAAAAAGAAAAAGAATTGAGAAGATGAAGCAAGCAAGAAAGAAACTCACCTTTGGTTTGCTTGGCAATAAAAAAAAAAAAACTTGTTGTAATCGAAAAGCTATTTGGCACCAATTTGAGTGATTTCAGCTTCATTTTTCTTCAGGTTCTGGTTTTTTAGGGATACCGAGTTGTTCTTGTGGCATTTTCAGAGGCTTGTAATTTGACCATGCAAAATCTGCATCATTTCATTTGTCGTCTCAGTTCCAATTCTCTTGGGAAAAGCACAAATGTGGGATCTAGTTTAATTACTGATTCAGTTTCCACATTGAAGCATGTTCAAGGAGCTTGGTTAACCACTTTGAGAGAGTTCTCTGCAAAATCTGGTGGATTTGATGAAGCTAATGCTAAGAATGAATGGGATAAGAGTGTGAGTGAATCGTTTTCTGGCACCACGACAGATGATTTAGGCTGGGATTCTGTTTCCTCTTGGTCTACTGGATTGACCAAAGAGCATTTTGATGGAGAGGCTGTAGGCCGCAGGGTTGGTGAAGGGGTGGATTCACCAAAATCACCACAGGCTTCATTAGTTTCTGGGTTGCAGGAGTTTGAAGACAGAATAAGGGAATTAGAGGCAGAAAACCGGAAAAGCAAGGACTTCGTGGACAAGTGGGGTGAAAGGATGAAAGAGATGAGCATGCTTTTGAAACAAGTGAGAGAGCCTGGTGCTAGAGGGTCTTATCTCAAGGACTCGGAGAAGGCTGAGATGTATCGCTTGCACAAGGAGAACCCTGAGGTATATACTGTTGAGAAGCTTGCTAAAGATTACAGGATTATGAGGCAAAGGGTTCACGCCATTCTTTGGCTGAAAGAGCTTGAAGAGGAAGAGGAGAAAAAACTGGGCCAACCCTTGGATGATTCTGTTGAGCTTTTACTTGATACCTTCCCAGAGTATGTCACAAGTTTCTACCTTATAAAATTTAGATGAATATAGCATCTTAAGAACGATTTACGCCTTTATATTTTCCTCTTTGCAAAATCATTTCACTCTTTCTTGGAAAAATGAAAACATAGTTCTTAGGACTCTTTTTCTATAGTATCTGGATTTAAGATTTAAAGGAACAAACCACAGATATATGATTTGGCATCAGAACACCTGTTTTGCTTTTTATGTTTACAATTTCTTAATCTTTATTTTTATCTATATGTAAGTTGTTTTAGGAAGATACATGTTTCCTTGTCTAACTTTTAACAGATGTATGGTTGAATAAATTATAAAGGATGTGAAATTTGCAATTGTATAATTAAAATTTCACCCAACTAATTACTCTTTTTCTTCATAAAACCTCCTGTTGATTATACATGATGTACACACATATAGTAGGTAAATTATTTTCTCTTTTTAAATTTTAATCTTTTACAAGCCAGATATTATAAATACTATAATCCTTTAAGGTGAAGTTCAATGTTTCAAAGTCTTGGTTTTAGCAGACGATTTACTGTCTTGAGGTTATTTTGATTGTATTAATGCTCCTAATGTCTGATTGGTTTTGAAGGAAAAGGATTAGATGTGAACTTGCATAAGATTTTGAATTTACCATGCAAAAGATTTTTAAGTATGAAGATTAACTCATTTACCATTGATCTCTTATCTTCCTTATGGCCTGTTACAAGATTTCTTATCTCGTTTACCATTGGCATCTTTTCTCATTTACCATTGTCATTGTTTCTTGCAGGTTCTTTAAATCCCACGACCTGGAATTCCATGTGGCATCCCTTCCGTACAAACCTGATTTCAAGGTTATGCCGGAAGGTTGGGATGGTACAACCAGAGATTTGGATGAAGTCCATTACGAAATCTCCAAAAAAGAAGATGATATGTTGTATAAAGAATTTGTCGAGAAGATGAATTTCAACAAAAAGAAAGTAAGTTTTGCTGTACTTTTGCTACACTCTATTTGGATGTGGAATGGCTGCGTGAGTATTGAAAGAGAATCTTCTTGAATCCATTTTGAATCCATTTACCAAATGATTTTTACTTGATTGGACTTGGATGGTTCTGAAACGTGAAATTGGCATTAATGATTAATTTTTTAAAGGCTAAAGGTAGCCTTGAAGTTTTTTCTCTTGAAGAGGATAACGCCTCAAGGTTATTCCTTTTTATTCTGAATTTGTCTTATTGATGTATAAGATTTATGTAAAGGATGATAGATCCATGATGGTTACAGAAGAAAGAGTCTCCAATCAAGAAAAATAAAACCAAGAGAAAAATTACAAAAGGAACTTGTCACTGATGCCCAAAGAGGGACATTAAGTCTCACCAAGGACCAAACATTAAAGGACTCCCTCTCCAACCCTCTAAAACTCTATTATTTCTTTCCCCATGATTCTTCCAATACAACACTCTCCCCAACTTTCCATAAAAAATACCCTTCTAAATGGTGAATGGAGGAGGGAACTCCTCGATTATATCACTAAAAGCTTTGTGATGGGCAATTTAAAGTCCAAACACATCAAAGAAAAAATTTCAACCTGTCAACTCCAAAACAGATGATCCAGATCTTCTTCCTCTTTCTGACGCAAAATGCAATAGAAAAGCCCAACAAAGGATGATAACTTTCTCTAATGCCTGTCTAAGGATTTATATTAAGGTCAGTCACTTTCTCAAAATAACCAACAACCTTGAAAAGGTTGTTTAGGGAGCTTTCGATACCAAAGGGGAGAAACGAATGGTGTCATTGACAAATTGGATATGGTTTATGATAACGTCGCCATTTCCACATGGAAGCCTTTAATTTGATTGTGAGACTCAGCGTTAGTGAGGAGCCTACTAAGGCTGTCCATGAAGAGGATAGGGGACGAAAGGTCTTCTTGACGTAGCCCACTAGTGACTAAGATCTTTCCCTTGGGTATTCTTTAATGATAATAGATAAATTTGCCGATGATATACAACCTTTAATCTCCAATGTCTCCTTTTTTGGCCAAAACCCTTTGCAGCAAGAATATTTTGAAGAAACCTCAATCAACCTCGTTGAATGCGTTTAAGTGTCTAATTTAATTGCCGTCCTTTCCCCTTTTCCTTTTCCTTTCATCAATAAGTTTGTTATCCATAAGAGAGGCATCGAGCGTTTGTCTACCTTCCCCAAAAGTTGTTTGATAGTGGTGGTATGGGGAAGAACTCTTTCAAGACACTTGGAGTACATGGGCCACAATCTGAAAAAAGAATAAAAAACTTGGAACACTCATAATATTGCACTTAAGGATGTTACTACCTTCTTTAAAAAGGAATTTGGAATAAATAACCACCTGGGGCTCGTAGACTTGGGATTGCCAAAGCTCTGTACAGCTTTTCAAACTTCTAATTCAGTAAAAGTGGCTTCTAAATCAGTGGCTTGGTGGTGATCAATGGGACTCCAGTCAGTACCCGAAGGGAGAGCCTCTAGATAATCCTTCTTGTAGTGGATGGGATCCCGAAAATGGACCTTTTCTCTCCTAAGTGGCCTGGGTATAATGGAAGAAGCCATTATTCGCTTCTCCCTCCTCTATCCATCTATTTTTACATTTTTGTTTCCGAGATATCTCTTCTTTGGCTGTAAAAGACAACAATTCAGCTTGCATAAACTTTCTTGGTGTGCTGTTCAATAGAGATAGAATGATTGATATTTCAGCCAAGAGCTGATTTCTTTTGATAGAGAGACAGCCAAAACCATTCCTGATTCATGACTTAATCACAGTTTTCAAACCTTTAGCTTTTGAATAGATTCATGGCCCGATCATCCCCTAATGAGAGTATTCTTCCACCAGTATTCGAACAAAGGGTCAAAGAAGGAGCGTTGAAGCCTCATATTTTCTAAACGGAAAAAATGAGGGACCCTAGTTTGTGTTGCCCAAAGAGAGAAGGGTGAAAATGGTCTGATGTCAGTGTATCAAGCCTTTTGACCCCAACCTTCGAGAATTTTTCAAGGGCATTTTCAGTGATAAGGAATCTGTCTATGAATGTTTTAGTCGGAGAGGTTCTGTTATTTGACCAAGTGAACAGCCATTTTGGAGTGGAGCATCTATCAAGTCAGCACTGGAAATGAAAGAGTTGAATAGTCTCATACGTCTGGAAGCCTTCCCATTAAACTTTTCATGGCCCATCGAAATAGGTTGAAGTCCCCTCCCAGCCAGTTTCCAGAAAATAAAAAGGGGAGGTCAGGGAGATCTTGCCAAAATGGGAGCAAACCCTTGTACCTGGAGTGGCCATAGATCCCTGTATTTCACAACTTGAAACTATCAACTGTAGTGAGAAGTGTAGAAAGGGAGAACACATCTTTTGTCACGTTCGCAGTCATTCCACGTGATAAGAACGCCACTTGATGAGCCCCAGAAATCCAAAGAACTAAGAAGTCCATCCAATGTGTCTGGACTCCACAGAAATTTGACAATGAGTCTATCGATAGAGGCAAGCTTTGTTTTCAATGCTGTCAAAGTTACAACAATGGAAGTAGTAACAGTTCAAACTGTCAAAACTTAAAATTTTATATTCTATTATAAATTTTTGAAGAATGATACAAATTAATATTATCCTTCTAATCATTGCACAAGGTGTTATAGACTTTAGATCTAAAAGTGAGAATCTTCCTCAAGGCGTAAGCCTCAATAGCAGCCTCTTAAAACAATGAATGATGATAATGGATTTGATTGAAGGGGGATGGTAGACATGATGTCTAATGGTATAATGGTGTACAAATGCAATGGAACTCGATTTTCCATTTTCGCATAATAATTCTTTCTTTGAAATGCAGATTGCAGGAGAGGTCTTCCGCCACAAATATAGTAGGCGTCGGGCTGCAGATGGGTGGAAATTCACAATAGAGAAAATGGGACCACGAGGGAAACGGGGAGGTGACGGTGGATGGAAGTTCGTCAGCTTGCCTGATGGTTCTAGCAGGCCATTGAACGAAATGGAGAAGATGTATGTGAGGCGAGAGACACCTCGCCATCGACGTAAAATCCTCCCTTGATAAGTTTCAAGCACTTGCACGTCGATCTAAGTGTGCATTTGATGATATAAATAGTTCGAAAAAAACTGGTAGATCCCCCAGGATGATTTCATAATTTTCTTTTGACTGACCTGTTTTTGATTGAACTTCATGCTTTGTTGTAGTAGTTTTCCCTGATGGTTCACATCTGCAATAACAGGTTTTCTTCATGCCTCTCTCTCTCTCTCTCTCTCTCTCTCTCTCTCTCTCTCTCTCTGTTATGGGACGGTTTTTTTTGGTACCTTATTTCCAATGCTTTCTAAATAATGTAGCCCAAAGATAATTGATTATATAGTTGAAAGTTGAAATTACCTTTATCTTTATCTCTATTTTGTCATCCAATGTTATATATGGCTGAAGTTGTTTCAATTTTCATCTGTGTTCATCATGATTTGATGTGTCAGTGATGAAGTTAGTAGCAAACGTATGAAGAATTTGTTGTTCAAAATGGAACAACTTTGCAATTCATGTTCGTAGAATCAAGAACAGTCAGTGGCACATCAAAGCTATTGCCGGTGGCTTTTTGTGAACATTTATGAGGGCTGCTCCTTAACTTGGCGGTCATGAAGCCCTTCAAACATATGTTCAAATTGAATCTAATTGTTGAAAGTATAGTGTAAAATCTGAATATATATATATATATATATATATATATATATTTGCAAAATCAGGTATGGATGAGATTAGGATAGGGTTAAATCATTTGGCTAAGGAAATTGGATGAATTTCATTAGTTTGGTGAAGGAGAAACGTTGCCAAAAAGTCGAGTTCATACTCAAATATGCCGGAGCAAATGATTTATATGTGGGTAGTGAACAAGTGAATAGGGAATCAAGGTGCTTTGATTCAAATACTCGGAGAAGGGTTCATATGTGAATAGTTCGGAGAAGGGTTTGGAAGCAGTGATTTGGGGAGATGGATTTGGGGAGATAACCACCAGAAAGCAAGACGGGAGCCTCGCCGAAGTTAGGTAAGTTTTAGGGTTTTTAAACCATCTCCAACAAGACGGGAGCCTCGCCGAAGTTAGGTAAGTTTTAGGGTTTTTAAACCATCTCCAGCAGAACGGGAGCCTCGCCGAAGTTAGTAAGTTTTAGGATTTTTAAACCATCTCCTTTAACCGTTGATCCATGATTTGGGACGAGTAAAAGACAGTGTTAAGATATTAATATAAAATAAATTATTAACAAAAATGTAGCATATAAACAAATAACTCGCCTAAATTAATATTAATTGATTTACTTATTCCATTGTATTATATCAAAAAAAATAAAATAAATTAAATTAAATTGTTGAATATTCTTTAAAAGCTACAAAATTTATTGACCTTTTTGGAAGATATAGAAAAGGGATGGCCTAATGGTTACTTTGTACCCTAAAATTAGGGACATGAACCCCTCCAACTCCTTCCACCCCATTGACCCTGTTTGCCACGTGGCAATCCTACCATGTGCTTTTGGCCTATGAATGTTTGCCACGTTGGATTTCATGTTGGTTTTTTGTGGGGCCTTAGGTTTTCTTCTTGTGGTCTCGAAGAGGGAAGTCTTATCCGTCGTTATTCCCGTCATCTATTTCATTTTCTATCCACGTGAAATTCCTCATTTATTTTTACAAGAATCAGGGTGAAGATTCCCTATGAATAATTTTTTCTCGATTATTATGCTTTAAAAAATCGTTATTTAATCATATAAACTACAAAATTAAGTGTACTTGCTTGAAACAATTTAACATCACGAGGAGATCTTCTTAAAATTCACGTAAGGACACAAATCATCCTAAAACACTAAAAGATTTCCGACTTTTTCTAACATGTTATCTCCCATGCCAACTTTTATAACATTGGTAGAAGTCTCTCTCGATGGTAATTTGCTGAAGAAATGTGTCGATGCATTTTGAAAAATCGTTATACCTGTGTTGATTTGTAAGAATACTTCGTCTTCAGTCTCACACAATAAACTAAAGACGAGCAAGTGACGTGCCTAGATCGTACGGGATCTAAGATCATCGTATATCGAAACTAGATTTTGAATCTATATTACAAAAACTATGTAATTCATTTTTGTTCTTAAGCCTATATGGGCCTTACAAAACCTTCTTATCACATATGAACCAAATAAATGATTTTTTTTTTTTTCTTTTGAAACTTAAATCATTTGGTTTTGAAGTATATATAATTTTTGTTTAACCCTTGATTTTCTTTATTGATACATAGCCATTTTTAATTAAATTTATTGAATATACAATGGTGAAATAATACAAACCGTTGCCTTGATCGGTTTAATTTTGTGGCTAGTTATAGATATGAACTTGTAAACGAGACTGTTCATATGGGTACAGGTTCTTATAGTCCCGTTGAACTCGTTGATTTTGTGGCTCGATCAAAATTTAGTCAATAAAAATGAAAGTTTACGATCAGGGTTGACCTACTAAACTAAATACCCGAGTAAAAAAATTGTTTGGACCAGTTTTGTAATATTATTATCGATCAATCAAATGGGTCTAATAATTTTTTTCTTCCTTGTATGGAAAGAAAATAGCATATTCTACACATTTTGATAGAAATATTTCTAAATTTGAACATACACATGAAGGAATATGAAAAGAATTTTGCTCAAATTAATGTTTTTTTAGCTTAATAAGGCAGACCATTGTTGTCTTTTAAAACCTAATTGGGCTCCAAATTTGTTGCCTTTTCTCAACTTTATTTTTAAGGTAACAACTTTTGTCCCATACAAAACCAACCGACCAACCATCATGTCCCGAGTGTTCATATAATCTGATAACCTTTTTAATCTAGACTGTCGAGTTCAAACCATAAAAGTTGAGTTGAGTTAGATTTTTTCTTTGTTTGAATTGGATTGAATTTTAGAAAACTTAAGATTTGGGTCGATCGTAGGTTACCATTTTTTTCCGTAACCCGACCAACTTGAAAATAGGTTACAAGCCCGCTCAACCCTTCCCTACTTTTAAGATTATTGCGGATATTAAGAATAGTTAATGTTTATAACTGATGTTAATGATGCATTCTAACTTGTGAATAATATGATATTTGAATTTTATAAGATTTTAGTTATTAACGTAAAATGTATGGTTGATAAGTATGATTTTTTAAATAATTAAAAAAATAACCCGACACTCCAAACCAATCATGAAACTAGAAGGTTGGGTTGTGAACTTTATTCGGGTGGCTTAAGTCACCAACCTACCTGAAATTTGGGGTTGGTCCAAAAACATTCTCTAACCCAATGCACGTACACTCTTACTCTCACAAACCCTAAATTAAAATTTTATATAGTTAGTGTTTATGTCTCAGTTTTACGAAAGTATTTATGAAAATATCGATGAAATATTATTATTGTCCGCTTTGATCCGTTACGTATTGTTGTCAGCCTCACGGTCTTAAAATGCGTAAATTAGGGAGAGATTTTTACATTCTTATAAGGTATGCTTCATTCCCCTGTCAAACTGATATGGGATCTCACAATCCACCCTCTCAGGGGCCCACCGTCCTCGATAGTACTTTTTCCCTTCTCCAATTGGTGTGGGATCTCACAATCCACCTTTAGGACCCAATGCCCTCGTTGGCACATTGTAACGGCCCAGATCCACAGCTAGTAGATATTGTCCTCTTTGGGCTTTTCCTCTCGAGCTTTCCCTCAAGGCTTTAAACGTTCCCCTCTCTAAATAATATGGGATCTCATAGTCCACCCACCTTAGGGGCCCAGCATCTTCGCTGGTACTCGTTCCTTCTCCAATCAGTGTGAGATTTCACAATCCACCTTGTTTAGGGCCCAATGTCCTCGTTGGCACATTGTCTCATGTGCATCCTCTTTGCGGCTCGACATCCTCACTGACACACCACCCAATGTCTGACTCGACTTTTATAATCATCGGTGACGAAATTGGATAACACAAAAAAGAAAGGTGATAAGGGGTGGTGGATGGGTGAATGTGAAATGGGGGAAGGGTGGGTGTTTTTTCAAAGATAAGAAAACAGTGATTGTTTGGATAAAATCAAACAGCCAATGCTGATGTGTAGTTGCAGCCTAGATTTGAAACATGATCCTTAATTCTTGTCATGTCTCATCTATTCACCCCTTCTCATGCCCAACCATTTACTCCATATTCATGTAATTTTCTTCTTATATTATCGTCCTGTGTAAGTTAGGTATTCACGGCATTCTCTCATTTATACTCGAGTACACGAGGGGTACATGAATGAACTAAGACTGCATCAAAATGAGAGCAGTCTTAAGAATAGAATGACTAAGAAAGACTTAAAAGAAATGAAAGTCGTGTTTTGCTTGGAGCTATGCTATGTTGGGTGATCTCTCGAAAATTTTTATAGGATGGATGTGAGTGCGGTCAAAACATATTGAAAAGACTCGTGTTAATTTGTAATGATAGTTTTCTCGCTTAAAAGCGAGAAATAAGTAACGTGACTATGTCAGGGCATACATGTGTTGAATCTAGATTCTAAATGCTCGTTTGAATCTTGGGCATGGATTGTTACTAATAGTATCAAAGATAGGTTTTAATCCTAGGACCTGTAAGTTATGGGCCCACGAAAATGTTTTGACGATTTGAAATAACTATAATATGTTAAACTCATTTTTTAAATCTTATTTATAAGTAAAATCATTATAGTTTTGAATTTTGAAATTTGTGATTATGATCGTATTTGAGTCTTGGGGAGGAACCCTTAGGTTTTTGGGGGTATTGGATTCTCACCAATGTTTGCGTTACTCAAGCCGACATTCTCGCTTCCGCTTCGTCGACCACTACTCGCGCGGGTGCTTCCCTCTAAGGCGGAACGCTCCCCTACCGATGCATTTTTACATCCCACAGCTTCGGCAGATCGCTTAGCCTCATTCATCTTTGGCACAAGAGCACTCGATCAGTGAGCTAGAGTTTACCCACAAGGTAGAATCTCGCACCCATGTGGAGCTATGGCCAATGTGCTCTAAGCTTAAGTTAAAATTTAGTCAAAGATATATCGAATTGAACACAGAAAAATTGCATACCATACCTATGAAGGTGGGGGCGTTCTTCTACTTGTGTTAACCCCACCAGACACCCCCTTGGGACCAAGGTGGGGGACTTTGTGATGACAGTGGGGGCACTCTTGAGACAGGTCTATAGACTTATGGCCTCATTACGCCTTTTGTGTAACAAAGATTGT